AATAAGGAACCCCCGAACATAGTATTGGTAATTATTTAGGCCCCTATATTACATACTGAAACAGTTCGAAGGCCTACTTCTAGGCTCCCTCAACCCCAAATCCTGCACCAGACGAGGAGCCCCACGGTTTAGGGTTTAGGGTTTAGGTGCCTTAATAATTAAAATAGGGCTTTGGGGGCTCCCTATTATAATAGGGTTTAGGGTTTAGGGGCCTGAATAATTAAGATAGGGTTATGGGCGGTTCCTTTAAAGGGTTCCTTAAAGGGTTCTATGAGGGCTCTACTATATATAGACTCTATGATATGGGGGCCTTAAAAATTAGAACTGGGTTTGGGGGGCTCCTTATTTTAATGATAATATAATATCCCCCAAACCCTATTCCAATTATGAAGGCCCCTATAGTAGGGTTCCACAAGGCGCTTGCAGCGGAGGAGCGAAGTAAGCGCATGTTCGTGAACACGTTAGTGTTCTCTCCGTCTGCCGCCGCCTTTCGTGAAGTCTTCACGTTGTAAGGGTGCTTTAAGGGTTTATACGGTTTAGGGTTTAGGGTTTAGGGATTTAGGGGTTGTGGGGTTTAGGGCTTTGGGGTCTTGGGGTTTTGGGCTTAGGAGTTTGGAGTTTCTGAGCAACGAGTTTCTGGAGCTCCATAGAGATGAACATCCATAACACCCTAACTGAAGACCCAAGAGCCGTCCAGTCATCGTAACCACAACCACATCTTAACGCAACAACTGCCAGATTTGACATTTTCCCGGGCTCACACTTTCTGGTCAGACCACATTCCGTCTCTCTGAGAATCCTGAACCCTTTCTGGATGCAAAGCCTAGACCCTAAACCGCGAAGCTGAATCACAAGGAAAGGTGGACCCATAATCCCCCAAGAAGCCAGGAAATAAAGGGTTAAACTTTCAGATTGCGGTTTAGGGTTTAGGGTTTAGGGTTTAGGGTTTAGGGTTTAGGGTTTAGGGCTCAGATTGCTGCTAAATCATAAGAACCCCAAAAACTTTAAAGGTTGGCCGTTTGGGGAACTAAATGGACCATAGAAAGCCTTCTACAAGCCCTGGAGGGAAACCCCTTGGTAGACCTCTGGAAACCGAAAACCCTAAACCCTAAACCCTCCTAAACTCTAGACCCTAAACCCTAAACCCTAAACCCTAAACCCTAAACCCTAAACCCTAAACCCTAAACCCTAAACCCATAAATCCTAAACCCTGGAGGGAAACCCCCAGAAGCCCCATTGAGTCCCGAGCCGTCTCGTTTTGCACCATCACCTCAAGGATGAATTCCTGAAGATAGCGCAGGGTCGGGTGGGTCTACTCAGAACCGCCCTAAGGCCCTATAACTATATTATTGCCTCAACCCTAACCTACAGTTCAGGGTTCACGGCTTATTAGGATCAACCATCTGAAAACTCCCCCTACAAAACCCGAAGGCACGCATCGTATGACCTACCGGATCCCAACAGTCGGTCTCCGCAATGGACATGCGTGCACTTGGGGTCTCACGGGCGCTTCGGGTAGGGTTCAGGGGCTACGGTCCGTTTAACAGGGACAAAACTCACAACGCTTTAGCAAGGCTTTGAAATGGGGTAGGGTTTATATCTGACTTAAAAAGCCCTCTCCCTGGACAACTGACAAAATATTCTTAAACTGCCCAAGAAGACCCTTAGCCCAGAGCACTGGAGTTTCTTACTTCCCCAACAAGCCAGGGAAACAAGAGGTTAAACTGTCAGATTACTACTAAATTATAAGAACCCAAAAGGTTTCAAGGTTGGGTGTTGGGGAACTAAGGCTTGCAGTGGTTGCAGCCAAGGAGCGAACAGGCTCGTCGACACAACGAGAAGGTCCAGTAACATCCACATCCAGTCCTGCGGCGTTTGCGGTTTGGGACTAAACCCTAAACCCTAAACCCTAAACCCTAAACCCTAAACCCATAGGGTTCAGAGGGTTCAGGATTTTCGGGATTGGGGCCTAGGAGTTTAGGGTTTAGGGTTTAGGGTTTAGGGTTTAGGGTTTAGGGTTCAAAGCGTTCAAGGTTTTAGGGTCCATAAACCCTCAACCGTGGGTTCGGGTTTTTTCAAGTTTGGGGTGCTGGCTGCTTGGAGTCATCCTGTGTAAAAAGGCGTAGAAGGAACTCCTGAAGCTTTGTCGAACCCTTCCGCGCCTCGCCACAGAAAATGCCGAAACCGAACCTTTGGATGTTTTAGGTTTTCGGTTAAGGATTATATAAGGTTTACTCTCCCGTGTAAGGATTAGACCTCAGGGTTTAGGGTCTTGCCGTGGAATAGCGCTTACAGTGGTTTAGGGTTTCGGGTCCTGGGGTGAAGCTGTCGGGTCTAGGATTTAGGGTTTTGGAAGTGTTATAGCAAGATTCTATCTGCTTTCAAGAGGACCTTCATGAATTCGCTAGCATAAGAGCATCAATGATAAGACGGTTTAGGTCCTTGTTTCTTTTGGGGTCTATGTTGTCTGGTACAATTGTTCCAAGGTTGAAACCATGGGCCCCTAGTATGGGCCCTGAATCCTTATACACCTACTATATACCCTATATGTACTCTTAAGGGCGCCTAGAAAGGGCTAAGGGTCCATATGAGATGAGGGGCCCATACTTCTAGCCGTAGAACCCTAAACCCTAAAGCCTAAACCCTAAATCCTGTATATGGAGTGCAAGGGGATGCTATTACTTTCAACTCAGATCTCTCGGCTTTCTGGGATTCCCTCGTTTAGGGTTTACCTGTAACCGAACAGACCTACCTCTTTAAGGGACAATGTATAGAAACCATACTAAGGAACCCTAAAAAAGGTAAGTCAAACCCTAAACCCTAAACCCTAAACCCTAAAAGAGGTAAGTCAATCCCTAAACCCTAAAGGTTTACAGAGGACTCTAGGGTTTCGGGTCTGAGGGTTCTGAGTTTGACAGCTTCGGGTCTGAATTTAGGGTTTGGGGTTTAGGGTTTAGGGTTTGGGGTTTAACGGTTTAACGGTTTAGGGTTTAGGGTTTAGGGTTACCCTAAACCCTAAACCCCAAACCCTAAACCCTGGGTTGAATCCCAAAGGGTCCAAGTACCGTTATAGTAGGTACTTAGTAGGTAATTGGGCCCCCAAAGTATATACTATGCTAGTACATGGACCCTTTGGGAATGTAGGGTTTAGGGTTTAACGGTTCTGGGTTTCAATGGTTCGGGTCTGGAGCAGCCGAGGTGCGCCAGAATTCGCAACAGAAGCTCGAAGGTAAAGAGAAAGGTATAGATAGAAGCCTCGGTACAGGTTTAGGGTTAGGATTTAGGGTTTGATAGAGGGGCCTAAATAACTACCAATACTATCTTGGGGGTTCCTGATTATGAATATAGTACAATGGGCCCCAAAACCTTAATCTAATGACTAAGGCCCTATAGTAAGCTTTTAGGGTTCGCCATCAGCTTCCTGACCAAAAATTGACGCTTGAACCTGAAGCCCCGAAGCTTTTCCACTCCAAGCAGCTCACGCACACATAATTTTCAAACTGGGGTTAGTTTAGGGTTTTTGGTGCCGGGTTTGGGGGGTTTAGGGTGTCGGGGTTAAGGTTTAGGGCTTAGGGCGTAGGGTTTAGGGCTGAGGGGTTCTTGAGACGGTTCCTTTAAGGGTGCTACAGGAAGGGCCCAATGAGTTGAGTTTAGATTTGTAGGGCTTATCGGGAACAAAACAGTTTGCGGGGCAGATCAGGATATAGAGGGGCCATGTGGGTCGACAGAGACTTCCTCTGGCGTCAAATAAGGATTCAGGGTTTAGGGGCTTGCTTACTTCCTCAATAAGCCAGGGAAGTAAAAGGTTGCACTTTCAGATTACTACTGAATAATAAGATCCCAAAATGTTTAAGGGTTGGGTATTGGGGAGCTAAGGTTTAGGTCTTTAGAGTTTGGGCCTTCTAAACTGTGGTTTTGTCTTTAGGGTTTAGGTTTTACCCTAAATCCGAAGGGAACTCTGAGATCTTTTGCCGTGCGTTTACTCATGCTCCGACCCGTGACACTCTCGGCGATTGATGCGGGGGCCTTAATATTTTGGGCCCGTTACAGTATAATTATAATGAAGGACCCCTAAACTGGTACTTGGAGGATCATGGGACTTAGTGAGTACGGTTATAAGTCCCCTAATTGGGGTTATAAGTATAGTTACCTTAGTTATAACCCTACTTACTAAGTCCCATGATCCTTTAAGTATAGGTTATTATTGAGGTGCCTATACCCCTAAACCCTAAACCCTACACCCTAGACCCTAAACCCTAAACCCTAAACCCTAAACCCTAGACCCTAAGCCCTAAACCCTAAACCCGAAACCCTTAGACCCTAAACTGCAAGGGGGGCGCAAGGCTTCGACCTTCGCTTGGAGCGGATTTTGTCTCGCAACAGCGGTGCAAAAAAACGAGAGACTCCACAGAAATTGCGGTTTAGGGCGTAGGTTTTAGTTGTTTTTTTGGTTTAGGGTTTAGGGTTTAGGGTTTAGGGCGTAGGGTTTAGTTTTTTTTTTTGGTTTAGGGTTTAGGGTTTAGGGTTTACGGCATAGGGTTTAGTTGTTTTTTTGGTTTAGGGTTTAGGGTTTCGGGCGTAGGGTTTATAGTTGTTTAGGGTTTAGGGGTTCAATTAAGGTTTAGGGAGGCGCGGTGGAGAGATGAGACAGTCGAATTACTCGTGATTTTCGATCTGCCTAAACCCTAAACTAAGCTATACCCTGCGAAATGCATGGCTAGACAGCCAGGCAGCGATGACGAAAAATCCGCCAACGCTGTCCACTCCTGCAGATTAAGTCTGGAAGTTTAAGGTTTGGGGTGGCAGGTTTAAGGTGTAGGGTTTAGGGTTTAAAGCGTAAGGTTTGGGGTTTCGGGTCTAGGGGTTTGAAGGTTTCGGTTTTCGGTTTCAAGGTTGCGGGTTCAGAGTGTCGGGGCCTGACTGGAGGGCTTTTGTGAGTATATAGAGTAGCATCATAAGAGCTATTCTACGTAATGGGCTTAAGCATTAAGATCTCGGGGAAGTACTTTGGAGTTTTGGGATGCTTCCAGGGGCTGTGAACCAAAAATCGCCCCTCAGAATCTTCCTCAAGAACAAACATCCATGGGTTAAATCTTGGGGTTTAGGGTTTGTGATGGCGCAGGTATTAGGCTTGACGGCTCAGGGCTTTTGAGGGTTTAGGCTACACAGTATTCCTGAGCCCTGTATAAACCCTAAAACCGAAACAACCCTGAACCCGAAAGCCTAAACCCTAAACCCTAAACAACCCTAAGCCCTAAAGCCTACACCCGAAAGCCTAAACAACCCTAAAACCCTAAACCCTGTATACCCTGCAAGACCACGAATCCGGACTCCACTTCTCCTGGATTCTGTGCCGCGGCTTCCACTTGCACCGCAATGAAGACAGAGTTGGTCAACTGGGAATGGCGGGCTGAGGGGCTTAGGGTTGAGGGTTCAGGGTTTAGGGATTAGTTTGCAGGTTTGCAGTTTCGGTTGTGTGTGTGTGTTCAGGGTTTGCGGTGTCGGTGCTGGATTTGGGATTCTGGGGGTAACAACGGGGTTCCTTTTTTAGCGCCGGACCCTAAACCCTAAACCTTAAACCAGCGTCTCAGACAAAGGATTCCTTTCTCCTTGTCATCTCCTGTGGCTCAGCTTCAGAAGGGAAGCCGAGAACCGAACAGCAAAGCTGCCAAACCCCAAAACAGTTTGGGGTTTAGGGTTTAGGGGTTTAGGGTTAGGGCTTTGGGGTCTAGGGTTTAGTTTAGGGTTTTGGGTTTTAGGGTTTAGGGGTTTAGGGGTTTAGGGTTTAGGGGTTTAGGGGTTTAGGGGTTTAGGGGTTTTGGGGTTCAGGGGTTTAGGGGTTTAGAGTTTAGTTGAAAC